GCCGGATGGGAGCTGTGTGGGCTGGCTTTGATTTGGGGTTTCCCTGACCTTTTCCCAGCATCTCCACAAGTCAGGAGGATAAAACCTTCCAAGATGACATTTAGAAGCCAACCCTCTGCCATCAGTACATAAACCTGAGGATTTCTCTGTGCCACCCATAATAAAACCCTCCGAGCATTGACTTAGCCAGCCTGGCCGAGCATCCCGAGCATCCTTTAGGTATCACCGCAGGTTTCTTTGCTGCATCACCTCTTCTCACACCCGATGTGGCAGCGATGCCTTCAAAGCTTTGGGGTGCTGCTCACAGCGCAGGGGGCTCCAGGGAAAGGGTTAATGGGTGGGCAGAGGCAGCGCTGGGGAGTTGCTAGGAGACTTGGGGCTTTAGGATGCAGGATGTGATGCTCAGCCAATGGAGGAGTCCTCTGAGGAGTAAATCTGCTAATTCGGGCTTCATTGATTGCTGGGAATTAGGGGTGGATGTGGGTACAGCTGAGGAGGGTCAGCCCTCCTCCTCCTCCCACCCGGGCTGGTGCTTTCCCATCCTGCTCCTGCGCTTTCAATTAAACCCCTGAATTAATCTCTTGCAATAAAGTCGGCTGCTATTACAGTTTGCGTTGGGATTCATCATCGCTTCTGCAGATTGTTATATTAAACAGAGAGCTCTTGGTAGCTGGGATGGATACCCAGGGATCCGGCTGGGATTGGGGTGCCTGCTCCTCCATTGGGGTTAGTGTTTACCAGCTAAAAGCCCTTTAGGTGGGCAGCTGATGGTGATGGCATCTCCTGCTCACCTGCATCTGCTCCTCCAGATGGCCCCCGCTGCTGCTCTTCATGCAGGAAAAGGTTTGACATGAGAAGCTTGCCGGTGGTTTTGAAGGGGTTTTGGCTGATTTTGGCTTTATTTCCACCCCCCCTTCCCCTGCTTCCCAGAGCTCCAGCCCATTTGCCATCATTAAGTGGATGGAGCAGAGTGGGGTGGAGTGGAACAGGGGGGGAGCAGAGGGGCTGCAGATGCAGGTACAGCAATGCACCCCAGAACTGGGCTGCTTTCAGGCTGAGGTCTTGGCTGCTGGGAAGCTGAATTGCTCCTCTCTATAGAGCCCCACAGCCAGACCCTCTCACCAGCTCCTGTGTCCCCTTGTGCCACCATCCCCTGCCCCATTGGAGGGACAGGAGGGCTCCCTTAGGTGCCTGGCACTCTGAACATCCATCCCAGCAGGATCCAACCTGCCTCTGCTCTAAGACAGGGCCTTTCCCCACCAAGCAGCTGCTTGCATTGCCGCTCCTCACCAAGGGATGGGATAGGATGGAATAGGGGGGACACAGCCTTCCTGCTGCACCCCAAGCCTCGTAGAGGAGCAAGATCCACCCCAGGGCAGGATCTGGCCCCTCCAGGGACTCCGGGATGCCAGCTTTTCACAGAACCAGTGGATTACAGCGCATCAGCTCCAATCGATACCGTGCTGTGGCAGGAAGCAAAAGGAAACGAGGAACAAAAAGAGAATTCTCATTTGTGGAGGATTTGGGGCTTTTGTAGCGTTTGGTGGGAGAAAAGGAAAAGAGCCTGAGAAAAGATTGGGGGGGGGGGGGGGCACAGCAGGGTCCTCCCAACCAGGGCACTGCCAGGGAGATGGGCATGGGATGGGCACAGATGGGCATAGGATGCTCCACTTCCACCCAGCACAGGGGTTTGGGTCCTTCCTCCCTGCAGCAGGGCATCCACAGGGGGTTTAGCACAGAGGATAAAGAAGAGATGCTCAGCCCTTGGTCTGGTCCTGCTGAGACCCTCACAAAGAGCAACCAGGCTTGGAGATGCTCTGGACAAGAATGAGAGGTTAAAGGCAGTTTTTCGCCGACTCAAAGCTCTTGCACAGGGATGAGCAGAAGAGATGCCCCGGGAGCCTCTGCCACAGACCCACTTTAGCCTGCAGCCCAAGCCCTCTGTGCAGGTAGTTTGTCTCATTGTCTGCGCTATTGATTCCCCCCTGTGGCAAGCAAAGGCCCTGGCACAGCGAGTGGTGTCGCTAAGTGATGGTCAGAGCACTCTTCCCTTGCAAGAAATAGGCTGTTCCCTGGGCTCCAAAATGGCCTTTTCCTATGGGACACGGTGGGATGGGGGAGCCTGCACAGGGGACAAGAGTGGGGCTGACCCACTCCCATGCAGGGAGCCTCAGAACAAGGAGAGCACCCAGGGGGGACCTGGCCTGGTTCTGTCACCCCATGTCAGTGGTCCGGGGGAGAACAAACTGGGTACCACAGCGCTGCTCTCCCCACGGCTGCTTGGGATGAGGCTCACGTGCCTGCTCTGCATTCCGAGCTCTCGCCGGCGCAGGGTGAAGAGCTCCAAAGGAGCTGCCCTTTCATTATTAATATGGTGATGATGTCTGATGCTGCATGTGCACAGCGACGGCTCTGCCTCGGGTGGCACCGGCCATGGGAAGGGGTCTGTCCCTTCACCAGCCTTTCCCCCATCCCAGCATCACTCCGTGTCTCAGATGGACATGGGTCCCATCGGCAGCCATGGGGATGCAGAGCATGAGCGCAACAGGAAGGGTGAGATGCCCCTGAGCTCTGTCTCATGGTGTCTCACCCTTCATGCCCCCACAGGAGCATGAAGCCAACCTGACCCCAGCCCCTGCCCGCCACCACCGCTGTGATTCCCACAGTCTTGGACCATGGAATAAGAGACAGTGTCTGGATCTGGTTTTAAAAGGCTCATTTCAGTGCACGGGTTCAATCTCTTGTTGCTTCAGTTGTTTTCTGCCCTCAGGCCAAGCCAAGACCCCCGGGCATTGTGAGCAGAGCCAGTGCGGGGAGGGGAAAAGCTGCTGGGAACCGCAGCAGCCTCCCAGCATCCTCACATCAAACCTCTCTTCCGTTTTGCCCTCCGGCCACAGCCCGAGACATGAATCATCCCTCGTCTGTGATTGATCCAGGCTGGACTGCTGGCAGAAACCCACTCCCCAACCATCCAAACTGCTGCCAGCCCCGGGGAGGGGGCTGTGCCCCATGGACCCTGGTCCCCCTGTGTACCCAAGTCCTTACACCCTGAGCATCCTATCCCTGCAGGCACAGCCGGTGGGGATCCAGGGCTCTGGGGCCACTGGAGGTGCAGGGTGGGGAGCCAGGGACCATTCTCAGGTCCCAGTGCTGCAACTACAGCCATATCCCATGATGGGTAACAGGAGGTGACATGGCTTGGTGTGAGTCAGTGATGAGCCGGGCCAGCAACCCTGCTGGGGTGGCTTACCCTGAGCATCACTCACGTTTGTAGAATCATACAATGGTTTGGGTTGAAGGGACATTAATGCTCACCCAGTTCCACTAGAGCAGGCTGCTCCAAGCCCTGTCCAACCTGGCCTTGAGCACTGCCAGGGATGGGGCAGCCATAGAAACACAGCCCTTCACCACTCTACTGCCATAGCTCAGAGCACCACACATGAGCCTAAAGCCCAGGAGCAGCACTGACACCCACTGAGCGACACCCTGCACCCCTATGTCAGGGTGCAGTGCACAACAGGGGCTATAGGGGTCCAGCCCTGCTTGCACACCCCCATCCTCCCCTCCCGCAGCAGCCCCGCGGGTCGGAGATGGGTGATGTCAAGGTATGTTGGATTGCAAATTAAACATCAGCAGCTGCACGGTCCTGGCTCCATCTGCAGAAAATGAGTTGCTGGGCTTGGAGAGGGTCCAGTTGTGCAGCTCGGCGTGCCCAACACCCAGGGCTGACAAGGCACTGAATCACTGCTGCCCGCACCGAGCCAAGATACATTTCTTTTTAATGATAAGTTTTTATTGTTTGGAGTTCAGCTAAAACAGCCTCCTGGGTGCCCGCGGGCTCCTGCTGCCAGAGCAGCCGAGTGATGCGGGGATGGAGCCTGCCTGGCGCTGGCATGCCGAGCACCCCACCAGTGCAGTGAGCTGGATGGTCTCAGCTGTAAAGGGAAGTCCTTGAAAAGCATCCGCAGGGAAGGAGCTGGGCTGCCGGCCATGAGCATTGCCCGGTAAATCCTCCCAACATCACTGCAGCCAAAGGCAGGATTTGGACCTGGCTGGGAGACAACACACCCCAGAGAGCCTTATGGCACTGATTGCCAGCCCAGCACTCAGGCAGCTCTGTCCGAAATGGGGTGTGTGTCCCTGGCCCCCAGCACTCACTACTGTCACCCCTGAGGTACCTGCCATGGCAGGGAGGCAGCCCCCACCCCAGTGCAGCCACATGGGAGCTGATGGAGGGGTTTCAATTGGGGTTGAGCTCCAGGGAATGAGAGCCAGGGGGGTTCAGAGCATCCCTCAGCCCCATTGTGCCGCCTGCCCAGGGGACAGCCCCACACTGCAGGAGGGGGAGTGTGCAGGGGTCTTCTCTAGGAGGATTTCCTTGGGCTTCAGGAGAGAACCCAGCCTCCCCCCAGCCGGATTAGCCCAGTGCTGAGCCCGCACTGCTCTCAGGATGCTCCTCTGAAGCACTCAGTAGCGCTCCTGCCCGCAGGTCAGACAAGCGGCAAATAAAAGATTTAAAGGGAGGTGCTGCAAAGGTACGGTAAAGAAAACCACATCCCGGAGAGCCGGTGGTAAATCAGGATGTGTGGGGGGGGAATGGTGTGTGGGAGCTGGTGGCACGCAGGGCCAGCACTCCTGCTTGGGGCTGGGAACGCTGGGCTTTGAGCGAGGGATGCTCCAGTGGGCACCGGTGTGATCCTGTGTGCCGGGGGGCCCTGCCGCTGCCTCCCCCCAGCCAGCACCAGCTTTCCACCATACACTGGGTTTTGTTAAGAGCCCCCTGCTACCCTTGGGCACACTGCGGGGGGGGGGGGGGGATGATGCCAATGCCCTCCCCCTCTCTGCCCATTGCTGCCTTAGTGGTGGATCTGAGCCCTGTCACCATGGGCTGCTGAGATGGGGACTGGAGGCTTGGAAAATGGATGAGCGGGTCCCTGGGACACCCCCCCTCCCCGAGCACCCCGTAACACCCAGGATTGGCTGCCCCAAGCGGTCCTTACCTTCTGCCGCCGCTCCAGCTGTGCGCCACATCTGGGCAGCTGCGGAGCCCCGGGGCAGGGCGAGGGGCTCGGATCCGGATGACTCCGGAGCCACCGGGGCTGGGGGAGGAACCGGGGGAGCCCCCGAGGCGGTGTCCCCTGAGCGGGGCCGGGGGAGCCCCGGGGGGGCGGGGGGGGGGGAAGCGGGGCGGGCGGGGAGGGAAGATCCACCCCCGTGTTCGTGCCCGTGTCCTCCCTCCCTCCTCTTCCTCCCTCCTCCTCTTCCTCCTCCTCCTCCGCCGCCGCCGCCCGTCCTCCCGCCGCGGCCAGCCGGGCCGGGGGCTGCGCTGCCGGGGACTGGGGTCTGAAGGGGTCCGGGGGGGTTCTGAGCACTTGTGCTGGAAGTTGGCACCGCGATGGGGAACGAGCGCTGGAAAACCATGGGAGGAGCCTCGCAACTTGAGGATGGGCAGCAGGAGAAATCGCAGGTAACAGGGCGGGGGGCGGTGGGGGGCAGCGCGGGGGTCCCACCGCATTTTATATCCCCCCCCCTTAATCTCGGTTCTCCCCATGGAGCTTCTCTCCCGGTGCAGCCCGGTGCGGTACCCGCCGTGCGGAGCCCCCGCGCTGCCTCCCCTCACCCCCATCCCCAATTACCCAGTTCGTTCATCGCACCCAGTGTCCCCCCACCCTCCAGCCTCTCTGCCGGGCAGCGGGTGACGCTCCGGGGCAGCCACACACGCCTGCGATGCTTTAAACTGCTTAAATAACCCTGTAAAAGGGATTTGGCATCTCAGCTCCCTGCTGCAGCCTGAGGCATCCCTCTCGCTTCGGGGGTCTCCCAGCTGCTTGCGGCCTTGCCTTAACCTCCAGGACCGGGTTTTGGTGTTGCGGTGGGGTGCGGTGAAGCGGTGGCAGAGCCTGCGGTGCCGCACACGTGCCGGAGCCCGCTCTCACAACCGGCCGCACGTGTCCAGCGCCTCCAGCCCGGCGCGCAGGTAGCGGCCATCTGCGCGGCCTCCAGGCGCCGAGGGGCTGCGAGCAGGTAGGGGAGCAGAGGCACAGAGCGGAGGGGTGGGAAGGGAAGGGAAGGGAAGGAGTGCGGAGCGTGGGCAACAGCGCCTGGGAAGAGCAGGGGGACAGCGGTGGAGTCTGTGGGTCAAGGGAAGGAGCTGCTGGGTGAGGATGGGGTGAGCAGCCATGAGGCGCACTCACTCCCAGGTCTGCCACTTCCCCGTCCTCCTTCCACCTGAGGCGATGAAGGACAGGGACTGGTGCCTGACTTCTCCCTTCTGCACGCCCTCCTCCGAGCCCTCTCCTCCCCACTCAGCTCATCCATGGCAAAGGGCTCCCTTGCCTCGCTGGACAGGGGCTGTCAACCCTGAGAGGCACCAGAAGCCCCAGATCACAGAGAGGAACCTCACCCTCCTCTCCCCTTCCTGGCACACAGCCCCTCCATGCAGGGCTCCAAGCAGTGGCGTCTGGCTGGATCCTCTATCCAACCGGCTCAGTGTCCCCCCATGGCTCCAAGGATGAGCTGGATAGGATGGATCCAGCCCCAACACTCGTATGGGGCTGGACAGCACAGTCCAGAGCAGTGATTCAGGCAGGGGCTTGAAGGAGGGACAGAGTATGCTGCACAGCCAGTCTCCCAGCTTCTGTAAGCTTCAGTGGAAACCCATCCCATCCCATCCCACCTGCATGCTCACCCACGGAGCCAGCTTGGTGTGATCACCAGCCCTCTCCTCTTCTTCCTCTCCCCGAGCTGCAAGGCACGGCGTGCTGTAGGAGCGGTGGCAGGCAGGCTTCGGATGACGGAGGAGAGCAGGTAACGGGAGCGGGATGCAGCTCGACTGCCTCTGTGCCTGCAGGGAAACAGGGAAGTGCAGCATTAGGCTCCGGGAGGATGTGGGTACAGCGGGGTACAGGGGCTACAGCCCCAGGGTGAGCAGGAAGGGGGCTGCAGCCCTGCACAAAGCTGAGCAGCAGCAGAGCTGGGCTGGCAGGAGGATGGAGAGGGACAGGCAGCGGAGCAGCGAGTGGCTGGGATGTGCAATGAGCTGTTGGAGCAGCTCTACAGTGAGCAATGGGTTGCCGGGTCCAGGGGCTGGCCCTTGCTGTGCTGGGGCTGCTTTGGAGCTGGGGGCACCCCGGCAGTAATGTGGGGGTACCCGGACTAAAGTTTGCTGCAGCAGCTGAGCCCTGGCAATGCAAACCTCAGCGTTCACCCACCCCAGAGGGTCCTGGTTCGTAACATGGCTCGGTGAGCAGAGCACCCAGGGGTGCCTGTGATCCCTGCTACCATAGCACAGCTCAGAGCTTGCCTGGCGAGCTGGCAAAGAGCAGCGGCTTTGGCAGGAGCAAAGGGCACCTCCTCCTCGAGGAGCATCTCCCACGGCAGAGCTCAGCCTCTCCTGCCGCCTCCCTCCATCCATGCTCCCCTAGGACCAGCCCATCTCCAGCTCTGCTCTCGCTGTCTCAGGGACACTTTGGCTCCTTCCCTCCCCACAGGCTGCATGCACTGGAGCTGCCTTCTCCCTCACCCAGCACGGGGGACACTTGGGGGTATGGTGGGCATCGGGGACCCACAGCCCCAGGGTGCAGAGCAGGCGCAGGCTGCTCACGCAACATAACTGGGGCACCAAGGACCTTGTCCCATGGGTGGCCAAGCCTTGAGCTAAACCTCAACCAGTGCAGGTCATGGCTCAGCTTCACACCAGGGGTGCACCGGTGCCTCGGTTCCTGCCTGAGGCTCCTTCCCAAGCTCCATCCCCAGCTCCAGAGCAGGTTTGAGAGTGAAGCTCTGCTCTTCCTGCGCACATCCCGGGCTCACAGCTTCTGCTCTCCTTAGGAAGAGGAGATGTGGAGACATCGGGGCCTCCAGCCCGATGGGTGTCCCCAGGGGGACATCAGTAACCAAGGGCAGGGCGATGTCCTGCAGCTGCCTGAAAGTCCTGCCAGGGAGATCCAGCAGCCTGAGGCCACGGCATGGGCAGCAAAAGACCCTGGAGTCACCAGGGCCCTGTCCGTGCTGGGGCAGAGGTGTCTGCAGGGCCCTGTGCTGGGAGCTGAGGGGATTGAGGGCACCCACACCCCACTTCGGAGCATCACTGGTGCCGCTGGTGGAGCGCTTCCCTCCTCTCCCCACTGCAGGTTGCCAGGTAACACAACCTGCCAGCAGGATGCTGTGGGACTCAAAGCTGCCGCCGCGTGGGATCTGGTGGTGGCAAGCAGAGGGGGTCACTTGCCAAGGGGATTGGTCCCCGCTTCCTTCCCCAGTTCCCAGTGCCACTGGGAGGGCAGCAATGCTGGGGCTTGAAGGCTGGAGAACAGCTGGATCCAGCTGCAGGGTTTCAGTGGGTTAAAGCCCGTTTGGGATTTGTGTGGCTGCAGGAAATGAGCATCAGCCGTGCGTGGCTCTGCTCCTGACACCCTTGATGCTCAGATGGGTCCCTCGGTCATCGCAGCCCATCTGTGTGCCCCAGTAGGCACGATTGGAGCTGGGAACATCAGGATGGTGGGGAGCAGCAGCGTGAGGGATGGGAGGATGCAGAGCTGCTGTGATAGCCAGGACAGCCACAGGGATATCTCACGCTACAGATCCCAAACCACCCAATGCTGGCCTCTGGTCCCTCCTGTCAGTTCTATGCTTGCGGGGTGCTGAGGGGCTGGATTGGGCCCAGGACCCTGCTGTCCATGCAAGGTTGTCAGTGACAGGCACCTTTATGTGCCACCATCCTGCTGCCCCTGGCTGCCCCTCATGCCCCCAAACCAGGGCTCCATATCCACAATCACAGGGCAAACTCCTCCAAGTGTTGCTCACCGAAAGCTCCCTTCATTGCCTTTGACATCTTTTAATGCACACCAAGGGGCTGAGCCTGGGGCTGCCTCATTGCAAGGTCTCTGCAGGGGAGCTTCCCATTCAACCCAGTGCCATTTGCATCTCCAGCCTCACTCTATGGGCTAGAGAAAACACCCAGAGCATCCCCTGGGGCTGGTGGGACACGCATGGACCGCAGGCCCTTGGTCAGACAGCCCCACTGCAGCTGGGGGTCACCTTAATGCAAATGGTTGCGGGAGCGTGCATGAATTGAAGGGTGCTTGAAGGAAGGTGTCACTCCAGATAGATGTGCACAGGAGGGGACAGGGCCCGGGCAATCTTTGCAGATGCAGCAATTTTCCCCTCGTTTCTGGGGAAAGCAGGCTTTGTCTCTCTGAATCGGCAGCGTTCTGGCAGCCCTGCAATGCCTTGTGACAGCCACGGCCGGGGTCAGGGGGAAATCACAGCCTCTGTCCTGCAGGTGCAATGAGAAGGGGAGCGGGTGGGGGGACAGGGGCTGATGGGGTTAGGAGGCAGCTCCATCCCTCTCGTTGGTGGCAGCGCTTCACACTCTGCAAGGAGAAAAGGCTCTGGGTGTGCACGGAGCAGCTCCAATGGGTCCCTGCAGCAGTGGAGCTGCCAGAGGGGCTTTGGGGGGGGGGTCAGAGACCTTTTCTATAGCAACTCCCCATCACCAGAGGCTCTGGAAGAGGTCTGAGGGCTTTGTGAGCAGGCAGCGAGGGCACAAGGGGGACTGGGATGTGTGGCCCTATGCAGAGCAGGTCCCCACGATGCTCTGGGTGACATCTCCCCATCATCTACCTGCAGCTTCCTCTTGGTTCAGCCCCTGCCTTCCCTCTCCTCCTTGCTACCCCCGCAGCCCCTGCTTTGGGGGATACAGGGGGTGTTTTCCCTTTTTGTCCCCATTTTTGTGCCCAGGGCAGCACCTCCACTGGAGCATCACCTCCTTAAATAACACACACCACCGGCTGCTCCCGTTATTCTCTCATACCTCCAGCTCCAGACGGGTTTCACTGCTTTGTTCACTGAGCACCGCGGTCTCAGTGTCCCTGCGATCCCCTCCTCTGCCATCACCCCCATGTCCAACATCACCCCCCTCATTGCTGGACCCCCCCCCTCAAAGCCTGTGAGGGTTTGAACCCACCTCCGGGCTGAAGGGTGCGATGGTGTCCGTGTCTCTGTCCGCAGAGGATGAGCTGCGGGTACATCCTGTGCACGGTGCTGCTCTCGGTGGCCGTCCTCCTGGCCGTGACGGTGACGGGAGCCATCCTCTTCATGAACCACTACCACACCCCCGTCACCGAGCCACCCCCGGTCATCAGCACCAACCCCGAGGAAGCCAACGCGCTGGTCACCATCGAGAAAGCCGACAGCTCCCGCATCAACATCTTCATCGACCCCAACTGCCCCGACGCTGCGGGCACCTTGGGGCGCCTGGAGGGGCTGCAGAGCTCCCTGCTGCGCGCCCTCACCGACCACGATGCCGAGGCCAAGGCCAGCAAGAGCCAGCAGAAGGCTCTGCTGGTCACGGTGGCCGATGAGGTGGCCAAGCTGCTGACTCACGCCGTGCAGCTGCGTGCTGACTGCGACGGCCTCAAGAAGGGGCACAGCGCCATGGGGCAGGAGCTCAGCACCCTGCAGGGGGAGCAGGGCAGGCTCATCCAGGTGAGCTGGGGCTGGGAGTGAGGCAGGGTGCTCCTTGGGGACCCCCCTGTCCTGATGTCCCCAGGGACATGGGTGCTTGCATCCCTTGCCCGTGGTATCCAGGGGAGATGAACTGAAGTTTAAGGTGGGTGCTCAGGAATTGGCCAGCTCTGAGTGGAGCTGGGCACAACACAGGATCATCCCAAGGGCTGCTCATGCAGCAGTCAGACCCCCTTATTTAGCATCCCTAACGTTTCCCAGTCTATGTGCTGCGTTGAAACACTTACCTGGGTATGCCAGGGGCATCACTTGATGCTCGGCTCCATGCCCATCCCTCCTGGTGCTCATCTCCCTCCATCCAGAGCTGCTCAATCCCGCTGCTTCACTTCACTCCCCATCCTGCTGCTCTGGCACAGCCACCCCATGTCACTCACCCAGCCCGGGTCACCTCAGGGGATGGCAGAGAGCTGGAGGCTCTCTCAGGACACGGCTATTCCTGCCGCCTCCATGATCCCATCCCCTGCCCAGAGATGCTCTTTATCCCATGGGGTGGCGTCACCAATGCCCTCAAGTTTGGGTGACAAATAGGAGCTATCTGGACCCTGACCCCCAGCCAAAAAGCATTGGAGATGCCATATGGGATCTGCTTCTATGTCCCCACTGGGTGCCCACGAGCCCATAGCCTGGCAGGGAGCACTGCTGCCATAGCCCGGCCGTGGGAGCAGGCAGAGCATCCTCACTGCGGGTGGTATGGAAGGGGTTTAACCACATTTAACCACAGCTCCTTGCCCCCCATTGCCCACAGCTGCTCTCGGAGAGCCAGACCAACATGGCCCGGCTGGTGAGCTCCGTCAGCGACGTCCTGGACACGCTGCAGAAGGAGCGAGGTGGAGCCCGGCCCCGGCTCAAGGCTGACCTGCAGCGAGCACCGGCCAGGGGAGCGCGGCCCCGGGGCTGCTCCAATGGTGAGATGGGTCCTGATGGGTGCCTCTGGCAGGTCTGTGCCTCGGTGAAAGGGAGGGAGAACGCGGTGTGAGGGGGGGGGAACCAGCCCAGAGAAGGGGTTTAACAGAGCAGAGGGGTTGGCAAGGCAAAGAGGGAGATGGAGCAGAAGGGACATGGAAACCAGTGTCCTAGAAGGGGCATTTCTCACCGTGCAGCCTGCAGTTGTCCCTAGAGCAGCCTGCCAAGCCAGCACAAACCCCACTGCGCACCCTTGCAGACCCCTTGCTCTCCATACAGCTGTACAAAAGCAGAGTAAAAGGGGTAAAAGCAGAGCAAGAAGCGACCATTCACCCCCATTCGGGCACAGAGGGCAGCGCTGCACGGGACTCACAGCCACATTCTTCATCATTTGATTAAGATGAAGCTGACTAAGGGGCTGTGAGCAAGCGCCCGCACTCTGCCTGCAGCTACCTCCAGGCATCAGCTCCCTCATCCCCATCTGGGTCCCTGCCTGCCTTTGCCATCACGCAGGGACACAGGGTCAGTCCTGGCTGCATCCCCCTGAGCACCACTCGCTTTGAGCATCAGAGAAGAAAGGAGGGAAAGAGCAAGGCAGCATCAAGCAGCCAACTAGAGCTGGCAGCAAGGTTGAGAGCCTGCAAGAGATGGCAAGACATCAAATTAGATCACTAATTAACCAGCCTTCCTCTTGTCCCACCCCATCCCAATGCCATCCTGCAGGCTCCCGGCCCCGAGACTGCTTTGACATCTATGTGAGTGGACAGCAAGAGGATGGGATTTACTCCATCTTCCCCACACACTATCCCTCCGGCTTCCAGGTCTACTGTGACATGACAACCGATGGGGGCGGCTGGACGGTGAGCTGCTGCCATGCTGGGGATGCCAGTGTGATGCCACTGCTGGCCATGGGATGCTGGGGTGGGAGATGTCGCTCTTGGCACCTGAATGTGTCATTGGGATTGGGGGATAAATGTTAATGGGGTCTGGCTGTGCATGGGATGCTGGATCCCATAGGGAAGTGAGCAAATGGGCTTGTCCATGTTACCTGTGCCAGCAGCATCGGCATCACTGCCCAGTGCTTCCAGCTGGAGCACAGTGGCTTTGCCTTGGGTCTGGGGAGCTGGAAATGGAGGGTGGTTTAAAGCAGGGAGCTGGATGCCATGGCTGAGTTCATCCTTGGGGAGGTTGGTGCCATGGGACACATGGCTGTGCTTTGCCCTGTCCTTGTGGTCCTGGTGAGTTGGGACCAGGACAGACCCCAAACCCGGCACACTTTGCCTTGTCTAATGCAGGGGTGCACAGGGGGGGCTCATTCACTGTGCTCATTCACTCATTCATTGCCCTGTCCTATTTGTTTTGCTGCAATGTCCCCGTAATGCTCCATCCCTGGCAGTGTTCAAGGCCAGGTTGGACAAAGCCTTGGGTGAGATGGTTTAGAATGGGTTGGAACTGGATGATCTTAAGGTCCTTTCCAACCCAAACCATTCTATGATTCTATAATAATGAGTAATAGTGACAGAGGCAGCGAGCAGGGTGTCCCAGGGAGGTGGCAGGGGCTCAGTGGGCAACAGCCTCTCCCTAAGGGCAGGCTGGGTGAGCCCAGCAGCCAGCACCCCTCCATCTGGGTGCTCTAGGAAACAAATCCCCACGATCTGATTCCCATAAGAAGCTTTGAGCAGGGCCGGGACGGAGCTTACCCCGCTGCCCTCGAGGGGCTGATGAGCCTCCGACATCAGTGCTCAGCGCCCACCCCTGCGGGCCGGCCATGCACAGCTCATCCCAGCGGGGAAACTGAGGCACAGCCGGGAACCAGCTCCTGGGGGGCTCATAGAGGGGAAAGGGGGGACCCCCGTTGGCTCCGCAGGGTGGGAAGGGTCCTTACAAGCCCCGAGCCGAGCTCAAGCACCCCCTGAATGGCAGCCCAAGGTGATTAGCGAGGCACTCAGAGGCTTATTTAAAGCTGCTGCGGGCGGGAGGGCTCCGGCTGGGCTGGGCAGGGGGCGAAGGGAAGGATTTGACACCAGCAGCGCCGTGGGCTCTGTCAGCGGGACGGGCACAGCGCGGCCAAGGAGCCGAATCCCGGCGCTCCGGGGATGGGCACATCCAGAGCAGCGCTGAGGATGCTGGCCCCGGGCTCCCGTTCCTCTGCAGCACAGGGACCTAAACGTACCTGCAGTCCCTTGGGGTGCAGGGGGTGTCTGAGCCGTGTCCCATGGGGCTGGGGGTGCAGGGTGGTCCTTGGGGCTCTCCAGAGCCTGGGAATTTTCCCTCCTCCTCCTCCTCCTCCTCCTCCGGAGCGCTCACTCCTGACATTTGGGCTCATTTGCATGTGGTGGGTGGATGGAAGCGATGGCAGCAGCGGAATCAATTTTGACTCGGGAGCCTGGGAGCTGCTGAGCTCAGCTTTAGCCTGCACGGACAGCTTAGGGACCTCGGGGAGCAGGACGGGAGCTGCCCTGATAGGCTCTTGGGGAGAAACCTGCCCGGGGATGCTGCTCAGCATCATCCTGTCCCCATTGCCTCACCTCTAGCATCACCACATTCGCCTGCCGGAGGTCCTTGGTCATTCCTCTTCATTGGGAAGGCTGAGCAAGGCACAGAGCTCACTGGACCATCGCTTCTGCTTCCCACTGTGGCCACATCCAGCATGCGACGGTCTGGTTCAGTGACAACAGGAGCATCTGCATCTTGTGCTCAGCACTGACTTTAACTGCAGCTGAGCCGAGCACGGCAGCAGCACCGGGATGCAGCCATGTAATTGCTCATCCTGACCCCAACTTCCCACTTTGGCACTCACCTCCAGCATGTAATTGAAGTAATAACAGGGTGATGGAGGGCTCAGCATCCTGGAGGCCCCAAAAAGTTGCCTCTTCACATGCTGTTGTCCTTGGAAGTCTTTTCCATGCACCTCATGGTGCTCCTGAGCCTCCATCACTGCCCTGCTGGAGCTGGGATCAGCATCTTGGCTCCATAAACAACGATGCTGTGATGGCTTTGGCCACCTCAGCATCATTGTCCACAGTGGGAAAGCTGAAGGATGTGTAAGAAAAGGCTGTGCCAGCAGAGTGAGGGCTGTGGTAATGTTAAGTGACAGCTTCCAGCTTCATGGGCACCTGCCACACTGAGGATGCTGGTGGGGATGGCTGCACCCATCCTGCCCATCACCTGCTGCAGGGTCCTGGAGCGGGCTGGGGGTCTGAGCAGACACCAGTGCATTTACACTGGGATGAGAAGGCAGGGGCTGAGGGCAGCCTGGGGTGACGTGTGCTGTGCCCAAAGGGTAGGATTTATGTGTCACCATGAACGGGGACAAGACACTGCTGCCGGTGGGGACAGTGCTGCCGGTCACTGTTCACTGGTCTGGCTCCTGTGATGCTCCGAGGTTGTATTCTCCATCGCTGAACCCAAAGATGGTCCCCCCCTGGGGATGGGGGCTGCAGGGAGCCCCACAGGGCTGAGGCTATGGGGTCCATGCCGTGGCTGCTGGAAACCAGGAGCTTGAGCACTGAGGTGTCAGGAAAGTGATGGTCGAGCATCTCCCCAGGCTGTGGCTGTGATCTGAGCCTGATGGGCTTTGGTGGGAGCTGGCACGGGGGGGCTGTGAGGAGAAGGAGCAGAGCCCTCCCTCACCGCCAGCACCATGGCAGGCACCCACTTTCCTCGGGTTTTAACCCATTTTGTGGGTTGGCCCCTTTGCAGGAGCCTGTCCCTGCCCTGTGAGCTCAGAGCGACCGGGGGAGGCAGAGAGCGGGGGAGATAAATATTTTAGCTTTGCCTTTAAAGAAGGGAAGGAAATCCTTTTTGCTTAAGAGGAGGGTGATGCATATTTGATGAGGAGGAGCAGAGCAGCGAGCCTGCGGTCACCCTAGCTCACAGCATCCCGGTGCGGGGAGGCAGCTCCCACATCCCCGGCGGATGCAGGGGTGAAGCACAAGAGATGATGAGGATGGAGCAGGAGACTCAGGAGGACACAGCACCTCCAGCAACCTCCCAGCCTGCTTTCAAGCCCCTCGGGGCTGAGCCTGGTGGGCAGCGAGGCACCAAGGGCTGCTCGGATGCCTGGGGTGATTCCTGAGCATGCCAAAGGCTCAGCCATGGGGACGTGCCCCGCACGCTTCCCTGGGCACTGCTCAGCAATTGGCCTATTTACAACCGCGGGTCAAAGCCGATTAGGAGGGAGATCGGTGCCGCTTCTGCTGCCTTCCCTGCACGGCAGCACTGGAGCCAAGGGAAATCAGCTTCAGGGCCCCATCCAGCACCATCCCCCTTCCCAGCAAGCCTCAAGAAAGCCCCTTTAAATAGGCTTAACCACAGCTTCTCAAGTGCTCAACGCAGGGATAAAAATTAAGGCTCTAATTCTAGAAGGTAAGTACAGCAGGATCAGAGCCGTGCCGAGCAGCGCGCCGGAGCAGGGCATCTGCAGCCCCCAAAATGCCCATTGTAAAGGGCAAACACAAGCTGAGGCTTCTTTGCATTCTGGGGTGAAACCCTGCCCATGCAGGGTAGGAGCAGCCAGGAGCATCCCTATGGCACAGCAAAGCATGGTGGTCCCCAGCCGGCACAAGGACTCAGCATCATTGCCCAAGCTTGGGATGCTGGAACCAGGGTGAATGGGCTCAGCAGCACAGCCCAGACTTAGAACCAAGATGCCAGCACATGGGATGGCTGTTCCCAAATCACTGCTGTGGCCATGGGACGCAGCGCTTGGTGGCAATCGGGCAGGCTGGCTCAGCCAAGTTTAATGCAATTAATCCAGGGCTGGAGGCTTAATTAAGTTCAAATGGTTGGACACAGAGCAGCATTTTCTGGATCAATGTCAATAAATCAAACCCAAAAGTATGGATAAAAGGGGGATGAAACACACAGGGCACGACATGCTGATGAGCAACAGGAGAGGAAAAAGGGAGGAGGAAAGATGTGCTCAGCCTCAGGGATGTGCCCATGGGCACTGGCCACCTTCCTGCAGGAGCACACTGTGGCTTTCCCAAGCTCTGCTCCCATTTCCAGGCAGAGGATCCAGCAGAGGGCTTTGAACCAACTCACCCATCCCTTGGAGCTGGCACATAATGATCCACATCCCCTTGGGGACCGGCACACCAGCACATCCCTGAGTTGAAGGGGTTTAATTCGCACCATGGTGGGGAGCTGGGAGCAGCCCCATGCCTGATGCCCTGTGTGTGTTTCCCCAGGTGTTCCAGCGGCGGGAGGATGGCTCCGTGAACTTCTTCCGTGGCTGGGAAGCCTACAGGGATGGCTTTGGAAAGCTGACCGGGGAGCACTGGTTAGGTGCGTGGGGCTGGCCTGGGGTCCCCTATGCAAGGGAATGGACACTGAGACCGTTGTGGGAGTGATGCAGGCAGGCAGGGAGGGCCCGGGTGGGTGCACAGGGGTAGGGAAGCGATGGGGCTGTTGCCTCCGATCACAACCCATGCCCTTGGCCGTGCAGCAACAGCAGAGCAAGGGCTGGAGGGTGGGAATTATATGGGCTCCATCCCCCTGCACTCACCCTCTGCCTCCACCGCAGGGCTGAAGCGCATCCACATGCTGACAGTGCAGGGCAGCTACGAGCTCCGCGTCGACCTGGAGGACTTCGACAACGGCACCGCCTTCGCCCACTACGGCAGCTTCGGCGTGGGGCTCTTCTCTGTTGACCCCGAGGAGGACGGGTACCCCATCTCCATCGCTGACTACTCGGGCACAGCAGGTAGGGACCCCATAGCCCATGGTGGGGTGTCAGCATCCTCCTCCTCCGGTGCTGCATCCCTGCACCTGGAGGCAGGAGAGGGGCTGCATCTGGGTGTTCGCAGGGGGGGTGACCCCAAGTGCCTTGTACATCACTAAAGGAGCCCCACTGGGTGCCCAGGGGAGCTCCAGAGGGCAAGGAGCTTGCCCAAAGGCGAGGTGAGGGGCAGGAAGGGCCCATCACAGCTCCCTTTTCCCCGGGGCAGGTGACTCCTTCCTGAAGCACAACGGGATGAAGTTCACCACCAAGGACCTGGACAACGACCACTCGGAGAACAACTGCGCCGCTTTCTACCACGGCGCCTGGTGGTACCGCAACTGCCACACCTCCAACCTCAACGGGCAGTACCTCAAGGGCCACCACAGCTCCTACGCCGACGGCATCGAGTGGTCCTCCTGGACCGGCTGGCAGTACTCCCTCAAGTTCACCGAGATGAAGATCCGGCCTGTCCGGGAGGAGAATTAGGTGGATGGCATGAGAACCCCCCCCCACCCCGTGCCCTTCCCCATCACCCCATTCCCCCATCTCCCACCCTCCCCATGCTCCCTAAGGGCTGACTCATCTTCACGATCCACCTGGGAGCACCACTGAGGGTGTCTTTAGCCCCAAGGCACCCGTGGACATCACTGGACCTTTCCTTCCTGCTGCCATAGCTCTCCTGTGGACAAACTGGGTGTCCTGGACAGAGCGTAACCCACGGCTGATGCCCATGGCAGTGATTTGGGAAGTGGTACCCAGCAAGGAAGAGAAGGAGGGAGGGAGCAGGGATGCAGCAGCCTGGGCAGATGGGACACCTCCATCCATCTCTGCTTCGGGCACAGACACCCAGCAGTGGCCTCACTGAGCTGAACTGGGGGACACTCAGTGTGTGAAGCCCTGAGCCCCACAGAGCCCAGAGGACAAAGCTGCTGCTCCGTGGTCCCAGCTCGCCCCATGGTGCTACTGGGATGGGGAGGGCTCGGCTGTGCTGCAGCCTGTGCAGGCACCAGACTGTGGCAGTGACTCCTTCTCCTCACCTCTCCCCCTGCAAGAGGATGCAGCTACAAAGGGACAAACCCCTCAGTCCCCATCGCCCCTGGCCTGGTGCTGCAAGGACCCAGCACTGAGCATCACGGAGCTGTTTTAGCAGAGCTTGGAACAGGGAGCACAGCAAGGAGGAGGAGGAGGAGAGGAAGGCTCCCAGCACGGCTCCGCTGCCTTTTGCTGCTCTTCCCTCCCAACCAGACCCACTCGGATCCACGCTGGGCTTTCACCATCCCAAAGCTGCGACCTTTCCCAAACCCTTTGGCTCGGGACAGCACATCCCAAGCTCTGCTCGCTCCCAGCCTGGGGATCCGCATTCGTTTCCGCCCAGGATGAGCCTTGCTCTGGCTCAGCACCTGCAGATATTCAAAGCCTTTCATTTCTTCAAATCCCTTTAAGGTTTTGCAAAAAGAAGCCCCAAGTGGGGCTTAGCATCTGCAGGGCCCTGATAACCGAGCACAGGCGAAGGATGCTGCTCGCCAGCCAACCCAAGGAGGAGCTGCTGCAAGGTGTGGGGCTCGGTTCTGCCTCTGGCTCCCTGCAAAGACTCAAATGGGGGATTATGTCCAACGACTGACCCCAAAACAACCCGGCCTGAGTGGGCTGTATGGGAGGAGAGCGGGGAGGGGGACAGCCAGGACCCTGCCATGCTTTTCTGCTTGTACCTCAGCAGCGATGGGGAGCAGAACCCCTGCCCTGTCCCCAAGGGACACAGCCAGACTGCCCGAGGATGGGAGGGAAGCTCCCACCATCCCTGTTCCCAGGGCAGCTCAAGGCACAGGGAGATCAAAGGCTCCTCTTCCCTGCGTGCTTCTCCTTCCTTTGAACATTCCCCTCCTTGGATCCTGTGCTGGACAAGCCCCTTCCTCCCGCTGGGTGAGTCCCTCTCTGCCTGTCCTGGCAGGAGAACAGGGACCAGTGATGTGTTCGGGGTCACCGCAGCTCCCCCTCTGCCAAAGATGCTCCTCTGAGCCTGCAGACAAGGACAAGCTCCGAGCACAGGCACCAGCTCCATCCCTGCCCACAGGCTGGATGCTCAAACCATGGCACCTGGGGATGCTCAGCAGTGGCATTTCCCAGCCAGCACAAGAGCAGGAGCCCCCAACAGCTTCCAAGCATCTCCCTGTGCCCCTCAGGACCCCTTTGGGTTGGGCTGGGTGCAGGCAGGGAGCAGAACACCAGTCTACTTTCTGACCATCAGTTTCCATGGATGAGCTGTAGCCGGGTTTTCTAGCGCTCACCTTCAGGACAAGGAGCACATGGAGCTGTGTGTCCGGGTGGGAAGGCTCAGCCCTTCCCTGGCCCCCTCCACCAGTAGTTTCCAGTGCTGCGGAGGGGATGCGGGATGCTGTACGTGCAGCTCGTCGGTAGCACACCCTTGTGTACCTGCCCCTGTCACCCAGGGCTCCCTCATGACTATTTTGACCTGCACAAGAGGTATTCCATCCATGCCAAGGTGTGGGATTTCCCAGGATTATTCCCGAGTGCTGCAGCCCTGGATTAGGCTAAACCCATCCTCGGTGACACCTCCCCATGGAGGGATGGCTCGGGAGGGAGGTGGTCCAGGACCTGGCCACGTTCATTCTGATGGAGCCCTGGGCCAGGTCGTGGTGTGTAGCAGTGCTGTGAAGTCTAGGTCGTGTGTGAGTGGTGTCCAACGCTGTACATGTGGACTTTCTAAACTCCTTAATAAAAGGAACTCATCGTTAGTTGGTGTGGTGGCAGCTGTGCCCATGGAGGAGCCCGTTGTGGTGATGGCAAAGGGGACAGCACCTGGTTACCGCAGCTCCCACCATGCTGCGGGTGACACTGGGCTCTCACATGGCATCCAAGGACCATCCCGTCATGGGCCTGGCCTGGCAAAACCCCTCTGTGTGCTGCTGGGAAGGGCTGGGGAGACCCAGCAGGGCAGGGATGGGGCAGTGGAAGCATCCCAGGGGATGCTGGAAGGTGCCAGCACTGAGGACCACACTTTAGCACTGGTGGCTGAGTGCACTGGCCAAGGATGGTGGGAGTGCTGGGGCTTGTTTGTGCAGGACCAGGCCCTAAGTAGGTTTGGGGGTTCAGGGTTCAATGTTAGTGCTGTGCACCCACCACACTCGCACACACATCTGGGACCCCCAGCAGCAGAGAAGGGGATGGAGGATGCTGCTACCCCCAGACAAAACCCTCCCCCCAGCATCCCCATCAGTTAGGGATGCCTCCACTCCAGCCCCAGCACAGCACACACAGCCTCTCCTCTAAATGAGACAGCAAACGAGGGAGGTGCTCTCATTAGTGGCCGAGTTCCCATTGTGGCAGCTCCACCAGCCTGGCCCCCTGTCCCCCTCCCCAGCAGGGCCACGCACTGAGGGGTGACACAGCCATTAGCACCAGCGGGTATTTAATGGGCAGCAGTGCGGGCTGGGCACGGAGCGGGGCCGGTGCAGCAGTGCTGGGGCATTGCCCGAGGCAGAGAGGTGAGTGAGTGTCTGCCTGCCTGTGTCTGTCCGTGCTTTGCATCCTTACCTGGATGGGCAGCACAGGAGGCAAAGACTACTGGGAGGCAGCGAGGGGCGATGGTCTGGACACCCACTGGTACCCGTGATGGGATGGGATTCGGCAGCACTGATTGCTTGTTCCCTGCTCTGGGTGCACCCAGGGATTTGGGTCCATGATGGGCACCTGGGTGGGAAGAGGGAGAGAGCAGAAAGGCAGATAAACAGATCATGGGAATGTTTTTAACAGCACAGCAATTAAAATTAATGATTATTTGACTTTACTGGATCACCTCAGCCGTGTACTTCAGGAATACCTAGTCATTCATAGACTAAACAAGGGATTCTAATAGGAAACAGGCAGAAGCCGCTTGGATCATCATGTTCCTGCTTGGAATTAGCTCTCAATTTACAGCCTATACTTTCAAATGATAGAACTTCAAAGGCTAACCTAGAGGAAGACAATCAGGCAGAAGGTGTGAACCAGGCAGGGAGCACCCCACAGCGAAGCCCAGCGGCAAAGGGGTTGCTGGGATGGAGGGAACAGGGTCTTGCACTCAGCTGTGTCCAGCACAGAAGCGAGGAGCACCCACAGCATCCCTCCATCAGCATAAGGCAGACACCCTGCAGTGTCCCCATCATCTGCAAGGACTTTTTAAGGCAAAATCTTCAGCAAAAAGTAATAATAATAATTAAAACTCTCATTGCCCCTCGTTGAGACCTGCGGGAGGAGGAAGGGGCAGCAGAGCAGCCCTGCCAGTGCTCAAGGTCATCCCAGTGCAGCATCGTTCCATGCCGCGCTGCTCAGCACATCCGAGCCCCATAAAGCAGAGGGATGTCGAGCACCCTCCTCCTCTCTCGCATTAGGTAGGCATTGCAGGTAGGACCTGCACACAGGGAGGATGAGGCTGGCTCAGGTGAATGCACTTAAGTCCTCCCTGCAGTGCTTCTAAGAGGAATGAGCAGCTCTGAAGCCCATCAGCCTGAGTGCTAATAGCCCGGCTCAGCCAGCCCCATCCTGCTGTGAACCAGGGGAGTCGCAGCAGGGAGCTGATAAAGATGAATGGGAGGAGGTCTGAAGGAGGCAGGAGAGAGGCAAAGGGGGCGCAGACCCTAATGCCAGCATCCCTGCTGCAACTGGGTGCTGGTGTTTTATTGCTGGGGTGTGGGATGGGCACATGCGCCAGCCAAGGCTTTGGCCGCTGCCCGAGGATGCTCTGTGCTTACTGATGTCCCCCTTCCCGCTGTCCTGCCTCTTCCTCCTGAGCCTGGGGACCGCAGGAGCTGGGACCCCGGGGGGAATGGGCCCTGCTCGGTCCCAGCGGGGACCCGGAGGGCAGGAGCGGAGCGCGCTGCTGAGCATCCCCCGGGAGATGGAGAGGAAGGGGCCGGGCAGCAGCTCCGGGCCGGCGAGAGCGGAACCTGGCCCTGGAGCTCAGCGGCTACAGCCGGAGCAAAGGGGGCTTCTTCACCTTCCGCTTCGGGAGAGGAGCACCTGGACTCGACCTCCTGCGGGTCGCCCCGTCCCGTTCTTCCCTTCCATCTCATCTGGGTTTGCTTGGACAAAAGGATATTGGAGGGGGGGGTTTGCTGCTTGGGGAAGGGGAACAGTGTGTGCTCCGCTTGCAGCCCTGTTCCCATCCGGAGCCAGTGCAATGGAAGGTGAGGAGGGTGCCTTAAGAAGCAGCTCCTGTCACACACAGCCTTGGCTGGGGCACAGGGATGCTGCACCAGGACAGGCAGAGCCAGCACGGCCGCAGAGGGGCTGAAGGGTTACAGCAGTGCTGGTGGTGCCCTGGTGGTGCCGGTATCTGTGGTACAGGGCTGTCGGGAAGGAGCAGGACCCTCAGAGCTCTCCATAGAGCTGTGGCGTTGCTGCTCTCCTGCCTGCTAAGGAAAAGTCCCTCTGGCAGCAAATTCTGCTTAGAGTCAAGATGCCGCTCACCCGAGCTCCTGCGTGCGAACCAGCGGGCTGAGACAATCCTGTCCTTGGAAACCCCTGCAGGGAGCACAGAAATGTGCCCCAGCATCCCCAGTCCTGCTGCAGCCCCACTGCCGGGCCCCAGGACCTGCCAGAGTGAGCAGGGTGAGGGGGTGATGACTGACCTTCCGTGTCCTTGTCACATCACCCAGCACTCGCCCTTCCTGATGCCTTCCTGGCCTCATCACCACCTATTCCTGCTGTAATCCCTGCAGCAACTTGGGTGCAGAGG